CAGGAAAGCCGTGGGTAAGCAGGGAGAGGACTTCATGGGGCGCCGGGACCTCTACAGCTTCCAATACATTTCAAATGGGCAGAGCCTGGCCTTCAGCCCCGACTCGGGGGAGGTGTGGAAAGCCCGCAGAAAGCTGGCCCAGAACGCCCTGAAGACCTTCTCCATCGCCCCCAGCCCCACCTCCTCTTCCACCTGCCTCCTGGAGGAGCACGTCTCCAAGGAGGCCAGCTACCTGGTCACCAAGTTCCTGCGGCTGATGGAGGAGGGGAAGAGCTTTGACCTTAACCAGTACCTGGTGGTCTCTGTGGCCAACGTCATCTGCGCCATCTGCTTTGGCAAGCGTTACGACCACAACGACCAAGAGCTGCTCAACATAGTGAACCTCAGCAATGAATTTGGGGATGCGGCTGCTTCTGGCAACCCCGCTGACTTCATCCCCGTGCTCCAGTACCTTCCCAGCCGCACCATGCAGCTCTTTAAGGACATCAACAGGCGGTTCAACTTCTTTGTGCAAAAAATTGTCCAGGAGCATTACACCAGCTTTGATAAGGTAAGAGCTCAGATGCTCTAGGATGTGGGTAGAGATGCCTACAGTTGTCAGAGGTGCTGCCTGCAAGGCAATGGGGGGGAAGAGGATCCTCCCTTGTCTCCCCACCTCTGCCCAGGAAAGCTCCTTGGAGCTCTCCAAGCTGCAGTTAATCCCCCCAGAAGCCGACACTGGCCGGGGGAGGAGATGTTTCCCCAGCCCTGAGTGTCTATGATGTCTGTGACCCACTGACTCTTCCCCAGGAGCACATCCGGGACATCATGGACTCGCTGATCGAGCACTGCCAGGACAAGAGTGTAGGGGAGGATGCCCGTGTCCCGCTCTCCAACGACAAGATCATCAGCATCGTCTATGACCTCTTTGGGGCAGGTGAGAACCTTTCTGAGGGTAAAGCCTTCCTGCTGGGAGGCTGGGTGGGCGAGCTGGAGCTGGTGGGGTGAGATCCTGGCCACGCTCGGGTGTTCGGAGCTGCTTCTGACCTCTCGGGTGCCCTCCCGAGCAGTGACCAGAGCAAATGGCTCTTCAGTGACAGCTGATGGGGGAACCCCTCCAAGGCAAACATCTAGAGTGACGGGATCTGCAAATACCCGCTCGCCCATCCTCTTTCGGTAACTAAATGCCTTTTTCACGTCCATCCAGGCTTTGACACTGTAGCAACTGCCTTATCCTGGAGCCTCATGTACGTCGCCTTGTACCCCGACATCCAGAAGAAGATCCAGGAAGAACTAGGTGAGTCCATGAACCTGTCTTCTCTGGGGCCAAAACTTCTCTGGCCAGGGCTGACCTCAACCTCCTCCCTCCTCTCGACCTCCCGCAGACCGAACCATCGGCCGGGAGAGGAGACCGAGGCTGTCGGACCGAGGCACGCTGGCCCAACCGGAAGCCTTTATCCTGGAGATGGT